GAATTGGAAACAGGAAAAAAATTGATCACTTCTGCCACCAAAATAATCCAAAATAACATTAAGGAGGATTCATCTCAAGCAAAATAAGAAAACATGGTTATTTACAATAATATTTTGTCAAAATTACTTAAGTTAACTAATACTCTTTTTTTGTCTATGTTTGGTTACCCAAGGCAACTCAGTGTTGGAAGAAGAACTAGASTATTATGATTATGAAGCAAGCAAAAATATTACAACACACTTTCACATCCTGAGGTATTAAATAACTGATGCTGTGGTTGCAGCAAATTTAACCAATGGCCTTAGAATTTGGTACAAAGTCTAGTACACCATGTATGAGACTTGGAAATATAATTGAATTTAAAGACTGCAACTTTATTCAGTGTTATTCRAATAAAGTAGAACATTCTACCCAAGATATGTTATTACCATTYAAATGACAAAAATGAACACAAAATCTACATGTGGTACAAAAATAGTTMATGAATATTTATTACCTTTTCCTTTTACCCAAGACCAAAGGATGCCTAAAAAGTGGTTATGGAAAACATGAGGTTTTAATCAAGCCACCACTGGCTGTTTTTGATTACTGTTAATATATTATTTGCACTAGTTTTAGAAAAATTTTTACATTTCTAGCATTGTATGATAATTTYGTACTTTTAAGTTGAATGAATTCAGTTGTTATGGTCGGCATAAGTTATTCAGGTAGATGAATTATTAGGTGATTTGAGGTTTAATAAAAATCCTTTGGTTTACCTACAAGACAAATTTATAATAATAAAYCACCTTCATAAACACAGAAAGAAAAACATCTTTCAAGGATGAACTAAAATTTCTTGGAAAAATGTTTTGGGAATTACTTTCATTCTCAATAAAAAGAAATCTTTTTAGAGAATGCTTTGTTGAAATATTCTTTTGTTAGATAATCAAAACCATTATTTCTTACATTTCCAAATAATAAAAAATTGAATAAATAAGAAAGTTGCATAATCAACCTAGTACTGTTACGTAAATTATGTTCAAACACTATGCAAGGACAAATCAATATAACTTGGTTAGTTATTCCAACAGTAAGGTATCTTCCAACATGGCCCAATGAGGTAACGTGCAAACCAAGAATAATTCTTTTAAACGTTCTGTTCCAGTTTCAATGAATAAGTAAATCGTCTTTCCCTTTTAAAAGTTTCTGTTTGTGATAGGAAATTTACTCCACTAATTTCTTTAAAAATCAATTAAGATTGATGCAATGTTACCAAGAATTTTTGGTAGTTCTATTTCTAACAAATTTCAGCATGACATAATAGCTTAACAAGGAAAGAAAACGCAGTCCACATGACAATAATTTTAACTTCCTCCAAMTCAAATGTTCATCAGCTGATTACAAAGGCTTACAGATGCAGGAATAAATGAATATATTATAAACAAGTGGGTGATATTTTCTGATTAAATTTTCTTCTTAGAAGGGCTTCAAAAATATGGCTGATACAAAGATTAACATTGAAAAATACATCTTTATTTATCAACACCAAAGTGAAGGATGTTTAAGCATGGATAAAATAAAAAGAAATCTAAATAAAGTAATTTTAGAAATAAGAATTATTGAGATATAAAAGACTGGAAGTCTTTTTATTCTATATTCTCGTGTTTGTCCTTGTTTTTATGAAGGATAATATCGTCTAAACCTCGATATTTTTGATCAATATTTAWTCCCATAATCAATCGAACGTGAGGAATAGAACGAAGTGTATAGACACTTTTCAAATCACTTTGAAGGTTTTTAATGCTACCTTTTTCAACCCTGCGTGTATTTACAATTTTTCAGACATATCAATAAAACGTTTAAAGATTCTAGTCAATATTCTTGACTAATCCCCTCTAAAAGATTTAGTACAATTTATTTTTTAATAAAAATGGGATAAATCTACAGATTTGTGACGACGTGTACATAGACCGCCAGAAATATACGTCTATTTTAGATTATTAAACTCAAAATATAGATAATTTGAGTAAATTCTATATATAAACTTCATATAATATAATACTATTTGATACAAAAGAAATTAAAAAAATAAAAGCTGATTTTAATTTGTCAAAAAGYTTTCACACAAAGTATCGTACTTGAATTTGCCAACGTGGTCTCTCACACGTAAAATTCGAGTTCATATTTTCAATAAAAAGACACGAGAGATATAAGACATAATCCAAGAACCAGTTAAGCTTACATTAATTTACAAAGGAGGGTTTTACGGCTAACAAGACGTACCTGTAGAATTAGACAACTTCATAAAATCGTCCGAAGATGACGAAATGATTTCGAAAATCGTAAAACTTCGAGAGGCAAGAAACGATAGAAAAAACGCCCAAACAAACAACCTAATTGAAATATAAAGAATTCAGCATTAGTTAAAACAAGTTATGGWTGAATTTTTAGAGAAATGATGGGGGAAATATCGAAAAATCCTAGATCTTTCTGCTAAAATTCTCTACTTACCGTCAAGATGGCGACTTGTGAATTCTGCTCATATAAATCGCGCCACGTGATTTTATATTTCGACGTCATGAATATACATGATGCGCATGCTCTCTCAAGCTCTTCGCATTCTCCGAGTCATATTGGAAAAGTCGATAATTACTCGTAAGCGAAACTGCAAAGTTCGGTRGCAACAGGTTTTGGTATTCGACCTTTTGGAGACCAGCTTTGAATTATCAATTTCACCATAATATGCTTGCATCTTTGAACAAAACTTCCTAAAAAGAAATTTTACTGCATTTTTCATTWTTCATTTCATTAATTTTCCTTCTTTTATTTTTTGGTATTTTTGGTGGGAGGCGGATGACCCCAACTGAGTCGTCATGTCTTTGGCATAAAACAAAATAAAACAAAAATATCCCTTATAATGTAAATAATTTCGTTGTTTCRATAACACTAACATATCATTGACGTTTTGTATGTAAGTCATCTTTAGTGAAATTTTAAGAAACAGAAAAAATAGATGGTACGAATAAAGGGGTGAAACGATAAAACGTTCATTTTGCTTAACGTTAAGCTTAGTATTATTTTTTCGCTTTTGTCAACCATTCAGGAGAAAAAATAGCGAATTAATGAGATGTGAAAGTGAAAAGTTCACTAGAAAGTTACAAAAGTTGCTGGGGCCGAAAAGGTTCCGATGACTTTCCGAAGAATCCCAAATGGCCGTTCCAGCATGAAAGGTGTTTCGGGAATCGAGTCGATTTGTTTATCAATGTTGGTCGTGGCGTGGGAAAGCTTGTCCTTATATTCTTCACTATTTTAGAGTTTYCTAACTTCAATTCTTTTGTCAAACTGATCTATACTGATAAATTTTGGTTGTTTTTTCCGTCCAAAATCCCAAACTCAGCTGTTTTTGTAAAGTTATGGAAAACACCGAAGCATTTTATGGAGAGTTGAAAGACTAGGGGACCAAACACACCAACTTCGATTAGAAAGATCATTTGTCTTGTTTGCAGAGCAAAAACGTTAACTAAAACATGGATTCGAGAAAGAACTTTTTTCCTCTTAAAGATGTCAAGTCCGTGGTTGAATACTTCAAAGAAGAATTAAAAAAAGAGCAGCCAAATCTGGCCCAGTTGTCCCTGATCCTTGGGTTCTTTGAAGGCGCCAATACCTGCAAGGGAGGTACGAGTAATCCAGATACTTGTCCGACTTTAGATGAAGAAACTTTTGATGCCCTCTACTGCAAGTTCATGGCTCTACTGCAGCAGGACTTCTCGTTCAATGCAGAAAATAAGCCTGCTACGAGAGAGCTAGTAAAGAGTGTAGCAGATCTTGTGTGGGGTTGCCTGGCTAAATCCTATTTCAAAGAYAGACCTCATATCCAAAACTTATACAGTTTTTTGACTGGTAAGTTTCGATGTTCAAAAACTCTTAATAAATACAAAAGAAAGCTGATATTAATATCGATCTAACTGTTACCTAAATGCTATGAATAGATAATAAAAAACTATAAGCTTACTATTAACTCTCTCCTATTGTTATTTTGTAAACACTGTAGTAAATTAATGTCTAAATGAGATTTCGACTGCAAAGTACAAATTATTACTGCATTCATTAATTTTAAGTATTCCTTTTGTTTCAAAAAAGAATTTTTAAAGATTCTATTTTTATCTGATAAAAATCTTGTTATATTTCAAAAGTATTCCTATGATTAGTTTAGGTAATTTCTGCCTGGATTTTTTTGAGTGTGTGAAAGAGGAAGAGAAAAGATAGACAGAACTGATCTGAAGCATGAGAAGACTTTGTGCTGATTCTGTAGTGAAGGGTTTTTGTTTTGGTGCTTTAAGCATTTCTATTTAAGCTAAATCAACGATGCAAAGTAATGTACTCAAAATATAATGTTTGAGTGACACAGACATGATGAATCCAAAAGTTGAACATAATAACTTGCAACAAAAGTATGTATGAAATTTATAAAATATTGGTCAAAATTTCGATACTTACAGTCCTCGTATTATGCATACTTTTTGTTTAGAGAATATTTACATTTTTCTATAGCTTGACTAAGATTTATAAATTCTGTTTTTAGGGAATCGGCTGGATTGTTTTGGTGTAGCTTTTACAGTTGTTGCCATGTGCCAAGCTCTTGGCTATAACGATGTTCACTTGTGCTTATCTGAGGACCACGCCTGGGTATGTTTTGGTAAAGATGGTTCCGAGACTGCTGAAGTGACATGGCATGGTAAAGGAAATGAAGACAAGCGAGGCAAACCTGTAGAAATCACAAATGAAAATGGTAGCAGTTGGTTGTATTTGAATGGGTATGCTGTCCAATGTACAAGGTATACTGAAGTAGCCTCTATTGTATCATCCATCAACGCAGGRATCAATCCGAATACGGATAGTATTGAACTGGCAAAGCTGCAACAGGTAGGTAATCCACTAACATATATGATGGTAAGATTTGCTTTTCTGAGACACAAGACTATAAACAAGACAAATGTATCCAATCGTTTGAGATGGGAAGCCTAAATGTCTACTCAAAAAAGATTCCATTATCTACTTCTAAATTTTAATTCTAGCCCTGTTTTGATAAATAAAATTATGAGATTTACTGCTGCTCTAACTAAAGTGTTATAATATTGCCACTGCCCTGCAGCTATGCTCAATGAGTTTAAAAACTACRAAAATTCGTTAGAATTATATCTAGTCTCTTTTCGGGATTTTCGCTCTGACTAGCGAGTCTTTAAGCGATTTATTCCTCTCGTAAGAGACGAAAGGAGGATCAGGAAAGATCCTTTTAAGGTTCTGTACTTTTTAAGTAGTAATACCGGTTTCGATAAATATTATATATCTATCTTCGTCAGTTGCTTTTATAGGCTAGTAATGCTCAAGTTTATGTGAGCAGCAAGTGTGGCCAGAAGGCCTTTAGAGCTCAGTAAGAAAGTTATTGATGCATTTACCGTATGTTGTTAACAGGAACTACTCTGGGTTCTGTATGACTTGGGACACTTAAAGAGGTAAAATTAATATGTTCTTTACGCCAGAAGAGTTCTTTTCATAAGAATCAGAAACTTGGTATACTAATAACCACAATACAGTGTTCCATACTTTAATTATTATTAACCATATTTAGCTATGGCTATGGCTACAGTACAGCTACRAATTTGTCATATCATTTCTCACTCATATTACCCTSGGTTCCAGAGGGATTTTTTTCATCGGATTTACTGAGATTGGCGACTGCAGCTTTGCCGCTCTCAGTAAATCCACAAGGAAAATCCCTCTGGAACTTAGGGTACCCTCATATGAAAACTAATTTAGTTTTACAATATACTTAATTATGCATCTTTTGCATTAGGTACCCAATGGCACTTGCAAATCTTGCTGACTTGGAAGAAATTTCTCCTTCTCCTGAACGTCCACCTTGCAAGCAGATTTTTGAGAAAGCCATATCCGTGGCCAAAGAGTTTTATAACGACCAACATATTTACCCATATACTTACCTTGGTGGCTACTATAATCGCAAGAAACAGTACTATGAAGCTATGAGGTGCTGGGTGGATGCTGCTCATGTTGCTGGAAAGTAAGTAAAATAACGAAAGTACTGTAGTTTTTGAATTGGAATTGCATGGATTATGTAATGCTGGATATCTTTTTGTCTGTTTTTCCCCACATCACCTCCCCCCTCTCCCMGTGTATGCTATTTATTTGTGTTTGCTTCTCTGTCCTGGATAACTTCAAGGCATGTGAGTTTTTGACATCTGTCAATCAAAWATTTGCCAACTTTGACCAACTACTTGTCTATTTGGTGGAAGCCAAACCATGCTACAGTGTATATACCTTAGACATAAAAACATGGAAAATGTGGTAAGATACTTTGATTAGAGTTTTTTCACACTGTTCCTTGTATCTTTACAATACTTTCAGGTATAACTACTCCAAAGAAGATGAAGAAATGTTCAAGGAATTTTATGAAATTGCAAATGATTTGATCCCAAACATTCTGAAGAGTGATTCTGATAAACAAGATGTAACAAAGGACCCCCTCTTCTTYTCACTCATGCTCCAATTTTATGATGGAATTTGTCTTTGGGAAGAAGGTAGCCAAACTCCGGTCATACATGCAGACTGGGCAAAGAAACTTGTCCAGTCTATTGGCAAGTTTTCTCCTGAATGTAGATCAACCTTTTCTGCTGAAAAAGAAGAGAAAAGTGAAACAAGCRACAATGGAGATTCAACGTCTAGTGTAGAGAAAGAAAAGCCTGCAAAACCAGAAGTTTCTCTTGTTTTCAAGAGTGCGAAGATGAAGGACTTGCATAAATTAATAACATCAAGTGGAAAATTAAACACCAGTGCAATCAAACTCCAACTTACTGCTCAGTCCCAAGTTAGCATTCCTAAGAGCCGCCGTAGGTCCTCAATGAAAGCTGATGTTTACCTCTACGATTATGATGATCAAATCAAGGAAGAAGGGGGAGGAGAAGATGAGGATGATGATGCCTTTTTGCGGAAAAAGAAACGCCGGGTTAAAAAGGATGCCGACCGAAATTGGAATGCTACTTTGTTCTAGTGTGGTTTGTGTTTGTCAGTTAAGAAACATTGGCCCATTTCTGAATTGTTCTGTAAAGCTCTATAGAAGCATGGACCTTAACAAGACCATCGAGTAAAGATCAAAGCCTTGTTGGGTAAAAGAGGCATGGCTCTTGTGCACAAGATGAGAGGAAGGCAGAGGAAGGCAAGGMAGAAAGTAGAAAAGAGACATCAGTAAGACATCTACCAAAATCTGCCAAATTTAAAGAAGATCACTTCTGCTCCACTTTTTCCTCTGCCCTATACTTGCCATTACMGATAGATAATTCAAAATGTCCAGATGAACTTGGTAGCTTCATTCCCAGCATGTTTTAGTTATATAGTTAATATATGTTATACATTTTAACTTCTTTAAGTTTCTATAGTTTATATTTGCAGTTCASATGACTGTAGTTTATTTGTGTAATTTAAAACATTCAAAGTACTTCATCCAGCTGTTAAATCTATATATTTTGATAAAATAAGATCACAAAAATGTAAAAATCTCATACGACTTAAAAGTTCATTTAGATATGAATGTTAGTTTTTAAAAAAGTGGTTGAGAAATAGACAACTTTAATATAATGACCTGCTTATCAGAAAAACAATTTGCAGCCTTGGTTTCTCTGACCAGTGTTTATGCATGAAATAGACAACCAATAGGAAGAGTACTAACAGACTGACAATAAAAATGTATTCATTTATTCATACGTCAAATTATATTCATCTACTTTTTGTGATGTCAAAAATAATATATTGGTGTGAACTGACATTTTATTTGATATGGTCTGCACTTTGTCTCGTACTCTATTGTGTATTTTATTATTTTATTATTCTGGTATTTTAGTAGGCTGCTGTAGGAAATATATGGGTGTTTTGTAATAGTATTAATTAGTGTAGAGGTGCCATATGTTGACAGGAACTCGAGAGCTTTTTATAAAACATAAGGCCTGAAGCAAGTCTGTTTCCAGCTATGTTTACCATTTGTAAGTCATCCAATATCAYGTCAAGCAAGAAAGGGAAAATGATAAAGTTACAGCCCTACGTGCAGCCATATTTGTCCCATTGAATCACAAGTCAGTTAACATTGACTATTAAAGGGCATTTACTTCATGTACTGAACAGATACTTGGGATACTATAAGAAATGCTTTTAAGACAATTTCTTAATTCCTTTAATTCTACGCAGTAAGTTCTGGGTGAATTCTGAGTGCCTACTTTCAGTAGTTAAAACCTGCAATCAGTCAGCTATGCRATATGTGGATAACTGAAATATGAGCTACTATTGTTTTTTCTTGGGTAGTTTTTAGGTAGTAATGATAATCAATAAAATATGGATATTTTTAAGAACTGAGTTCGTTATTATTATTATTATTATTATTATTATTATTATTATTGTTATTATTATTAATTTATTTATTTATTTTTGCAACATTATCCCAAGAAAGAAATTAGGGAAAGATGTATGAATTGGTCACAGGATAGTGCAGATRCTTGCCCCTCTTTTGACCACTCAGCTTTTTTGGAGCTGCTTGTTGTGCTTGCAGACCTCCTGTGATCACAGGCAGTGCCCCCAAAAAGTTGAGTAGCCAAAAGAAGTGCCAGCAAACTAGGTACTGGAGGTTTGGGAACAATTAATCTTTACAAGTAAGCCCATTCAAAGTACATGTCTTTCTATTGAGTTTTGTTTCTTTGTTTAAAAGTAACATGAAAGAAATRCATTACAGTSYAAATTGGAAAACCATGGGYACCTAGRAATATTCCAGRAATRTTCTATTGTTCTTAGGCCAATCAGAATTGACTTTTTAACCASAAGATAATGGAAAGATAACRGAATGCTTCTGATTTTTGGTTAAGAAACATTCTTGAAATATTTCTAGGTGCYAATGGTTTTTTGATGCGCATTGTAATAATATAYGAAAGAAAATTATTTCTAAGGTACTGAGTGGTCTGAAATGGGAAACACAATAGAGAAAAACGAAACAATGTCCATTCATTGGCTATACTCTTGTTCAAAATTTCTAACAATAAAATTGGACAAATTATCTTATCTATGATTWAGTAGCCCCTCCTCCTTTTTCGCGKGTTTCCTGTGCTACTAATTTATTCAGTGGATAATTTATGCAAATCATCCGACAACGTGTAGCCTCGGTTTGCTGTCTACAAACTCTCCAGGGAGGGGTAAAGACTACAGCGCACATATAAAACAAACTTTGTCACAGAGAAGAAATATCTTATATATTCAGTGTAATTGTAAGAATATTTCACATTTTTTAAGCTGTATGTTGTATTTATTAAAATAGTTTTAGTTATATACTTTAATTTTTGTTGAATAAAAAARTCTACTTTCCCTACCCTACTGGAAAGCCGATTGTCACTAGCCAATGGCAAAGAAAAAGAAGGTAAGGCCAAGACAAATCGTGGTCTTCTGTTTGACTGTCGTAGGTAAGGTGTTGTGTCGACGAAATATTTCAAAACTTTTAGGCGTACCTGTGGCCTTTGGGGCCAGAACAAGAAGAAGGATACGAAGTATGATACTTTTTCCTTCATGAAGTTAAAGAATCAAGGAGATTTACGAACGTTTTCGACGATTTTTTTGGCGTAAAATTACACGGACGCGAATATTGCCAACGCGCAGCCATCTTGTGACRACTACTTTGGCCAAGAAACCTTGAATTAAGCATGGCTCAACTCGACGAAAACCGTAAATGGACTCAAGATGAAATCATTAACAATACKAAGAACGTTGTTCGAGGCTTAGAGACTCTAAAGAGCGAACATTCTACGATTTTATCCACTCTTTCTTCGGATTGTAAAGACAACAAGAAGAGCGAGAAGTCTGAGATAGAAGAAGCTAAGGCTGGATTAGTTCAAGAATCGCTTGACAAGTTAGAATTAGGGTTAGGCGAGGCACAGGTAAGATTATTTTACGCTTTGATTATTAAAAAWATCTGTTCTGGTACTTAGATTTAAGACATTAGGAAGCCGATATAAACCTGAGAACCTTCTGTTTTCCAACGTCGACCGCCCAAACTGAATTTTAATGTTTTGTAAATCTATGAACTTTTCTCCTTGAATTCTAAGCCCAAAATTTTAAGTTTCAGATATTTTTCGTACTTCTCTTTTGAGAAGAGATGAAAATATTAAAATGTTTTCTTGCTTTTTAGTGGTTGTGGTTCTAGGTTAAAAAGCAATTTAGATATTTGTGTTTCTCAAGGGTTTATTGTCTGCAAGAAATATTTAAACATTTTCAACCTGTTTTGTTTTTATCTTCTAACTTGACATTTTATGGGACTTGTTTTTCTACTGACGTTGCATTCGATAACGATATAAAATTTGAAGAATCTTAATTGAAAATTAGGAATAATGATCCCATTCAATCAAGCAGAGAGCACTGTTATTATTGTAATTATCATTAATATTATTATTTCAATATATTGCACTCTTACTTTTCCATTTCCCACATCCAATTCTTCATTCAGAATAAGCTTTTCTCTCCCATTTAGTATTTCAAAATTGCACCGTCGTTTCCTAGTTTTCATGCTGTCTATCAAATCATTTTGGCCATAAATATGCATCGTCATTTCCTTGTTTTCATGCTGTGTATCAAACCATTTTGGTCATAAATATGCATCGTCATTTTCTAGTTTTCATGCTGTTTATCAAATCATTTTGGTCATAAATATGCATCTTTTAACAAAAATTTAAGACACCATTTTACCATCTCAATATAATTTTTTAGAATTTTAAGTAGGAATGGCATTGAGAAAATGTTTTATATATRTAAACAAATGTGTAGGCTTTTGAAGATTTTAAAAGTTAATGAACCATTTCCAAGTATTTTATTCATTTTTGACTTGAGATGATCTTTAATATTGATATATTTGTATATTAAAATACTGAGGAGTGAAAACTGAAACCTCAAATTACTGTCACCAAATTTGATTTTGTTATAATTGTGTTGTGGTTTTTATCATGTCATCCCATTTTTATTTATTTTTGTAACCATTTATTTAGTTTTGATATTACAAAAATAGATMAATGCCAGAGGTACCAAAAAATAATAATCAGCAGTTTCCTTGAAGGTTTTGTTTTATAACAYGTTAGTATATGTAATAGGACTCCATGCTGTCCAATTAAGAAAATTCCAAGGACTGACAAAATTGGATGAGGCCATAGGCCAAGTCCAATTTGGCAGTCAGAGGAATATTTCAAGTCTAATTATTTCTTGATTGGGGAGCATGAAATCCCATTACCTATTAATTATATAGCTGCCTGATTAATCCCATATCAACAAGACCTGTCCAATTAAGAAAACAATTGGACAGTTACCTATATGGGATTAATGAGAAGCTGTATAATTATAACTCTAAATTCTGGTATTTATTTGCTTTATACAATAATTTGCTAACTAATTACTTCCAAACATCAATGATAAAAGTGGAGGTGATTTTCTGAGGTGAACTCTAAATTCTGGTATTTATTTGCTTTATACAATAATTTGCTAATTAATTACTTCCAAAACCTTCTAACATCAATGATAAAAGTAGAGATGGTTTCATCGAAAATCATTAAGAAAATCCAGTATGGAGTATTTGAATACTAGCATGGAAAGGAGAACTGAATTCCTCCAATTACTAATGAAATATATTTAAACATTTTTCACTCACTCAATTTTAGCATTAGATTCCTAMAACTCAGTTATATAATTTATGTTGATAGATTCCTTAGTTTATAGARAAGTCATTTACATTCTTAAAATAGTGTTTATCTGTCATCTTCAGACAGTTTATGTTACTCTGATAACAACAGCTTCAAAGGTCCACTATTTTGGCTTTCATTCTTGACCAATTTCATTGTTAAATTGTTAATATTACATTTTTATCTTGGTATCTTGATCAAATTCCTWTAAAATAAAGGCTAAACTGTCCCTTTGTTCTGACACATCTTCAAATGCCATAAATATTTGAGTTGCTTGCATGCAGTGCATCAAATACAATATGTATTTTTAGATTGAATAATTTTGTATTTTTTGTATGTGTGTGTTAGAGCGAGGGTATTTAACCCGTGAAATGAAAATTATTAGTCAACTTGTAATAGTCAAATAGACACAAAATAATACAATGATATTAAGGTCTACTAAAGTGTATTAGTCTAATATCTATTTTTTTAATTTTTACTGTGGAAATTAGCTTACTGGGAACCCTGTGGTGCATTTGGGAATGAAAAAAATATTAGGGTCGACAAAAATCGGCAACAAAATTAGGGTCGGTCTTGCAACAGGAAACACACTTCTTTTTCATGATCTTCTCTTATTATTTCAAAATGTATTTCAAAACCCTGAAAGCGTAACTCTTTTTTCTAGGTACTTATGTCATTATGTAGTCACTTAAGCACAGTGGAGGCRGAGAAGCAGAAGCTGAGAGCACAAGTCAGACGACTGTGTCAAGAAAATGCTTGGCTAAGAGAAGAGCTCTCTGTAACACAGCAAAAACTACAAGAAAGTGAACAGAAAGTAGCAACGCTGGAAGAGGAGAAAAAACACCTGGAGTTCATGAATTCCATTAAAAAATATGATGACGTGAGTCTATGAATTTTAGGTTAAATTTTGAAATATAGAGTTGCGTGGTAATTGTGTTGTCATGGGAGTGAAATCACTTTATGCTTAGTCATTTGCAAAACAACATTGCTGTAGTTGGAATTCATGAGAAATTGGAGCGTATGAAGATCACACTTTCAGTTGTGGTGGCGTGAAGGTTGCAAGTGCAATTTTATTAATATCTAATTATATTATTATATTATATTATATTAATTATATACATTATCTTTCAAAACTCTTGCTGATAGGCAGATTTTTGCATGCCAAAAGATTTTTTTTAAACAAATCATTGAATACTAGAATATTTGGTTCAGCCTCTATGGATGTCACCAAACTGGATTTTCTTGGCAGAAAAAATATGCCACAGTCACACCCCCTAGCATAAAYTACTCCAACAACATTCATCAAATTTTTAGTCCACATACCTTTTTTGGTGTGTCGGTATCCTTTTGGTAATTTGTGGGAAAATAGATTATGAAAGAATGCTTACATGTGAAGAAAGAAATACAGAGTAAAAGTTTCATGTTTKTATGTGGAATCATAGATGTTTGGAGGCTCAACCATAGCATGTTAAGTGAAAAGCCTGTTCAGTGACATCTGTAGTAAGTGGTTGCAGTCATTCATAATGCATTTTTTATGTCAATTGTAATGCTATATTCCTTTTKTTGTTTATTATTATTTTGTATATTATTATTTTGCATGTGCTCCACTAATGAAATACRTTTTTTTGTCATTGTTCTCCATGCATCCTGAATATTTTGTTGAGTAGGACAGACATGTAAGTAGATAAATAACGCATGACTAATAAGCATTCTTATTTTCATTTGTTTTATTTTTCATTTCATGTTTCTTTATTATTATTTAATAACAAAAGCACTAACAAAAGCTANATCACACTCAATAATTACTGATTTATAATATTGAACTTTTACCTAATTTTTGAAGGATTGCTTGTTGATGATAAACCAAAGCAGTAGTGGAATGAAATATCCCACAAATTTTTTTGTTTTGTTTTGTTTTGTTTCTTTTTTTTTTTAATGAAGGAAATATAATTTCGTTTCCTTATTGAATCAGGATGAATTTTTTTTTTTAATGAAGGAAATATAATTTTGTTTCCTTAATGAATTAGGATGAAGGAATTGAGAATGACATGTGCAGCGATATAATGTCACAAGATGAAGAAGAAGCAGATGTGGATGGTAAGACTTGAAGATTTTTTTCAGGCAATCCATACAACATAAGCTGTGAATCTGTGTGGGCCTCCCTCTCCAGGGTTGTCCTCCCTCTCCAGGGTTGTCCTCCCTCTTCAGGGTTGTCCTCCCTCTCCAGGGTTGTCCTCCCTCTCCAGGGTTGTCCTCCCATTTCCACTTGTCCGTCCCCCTCCCCATCCTCAGTTCTATCCCCTTTTACATAGTAATAAAATTATTGCCAAATAACATTAATGAACAGGGCTTCTCATAACATTACACCCTCTCATATCTTGAWATACTGTGTTTATAGATGAGACACTAAGTCAGACGTCTACAGCATCAGCAAGCACRTCAGGTGTATATGAAATCCCTGCAAGACTGCGAACCCTGCATAACTTAGTCATACAGTATGCATCACAGGTAAATATCTAAATTGATTAYAACTATGGATCTCTTTAATTTGAGCATAATGTTTTTCCCATTTCAGAGCATGTGTCATTCTCTTGGGATTACTGTGGTTTTCCGATATTCTACTTACTCAGTAGTTACAAGCTGTACGCTGAAATTTGGTTTTTCGCTGCATTCAATCAAAAATAATCAGTCGTTACCTTTTATGTTCTTGATTGGCGGCTGTAAAAAAACAGTTTCACAACAAACCGTTGGAATGTCTGAGTTGGCAGAATATGGAAAACAGTAGTAAGATTCTTTGTTAGAGTTGTATTTATATGCATCTTCTCATGCAACTGTTAAACAAAGAAATCATACTCTAGGGAATGACACATGGTTTGAAATGGGAAAACAGTACRCCCAAGGTAAAAAGGTCTTTTGCATTAGAACAGTCAACACTAAGCAGGCATTTATGAAATGAATTAGGGTCGATATGAGGTAGCTGTGCCTCTTTGTAAACAAGCTTTRGAAGACTTGGAGAAGACTTCAGGACATGATCACCCAGATGTTGCAACAATGCTTAACATTCTGGCCTTGGTTTACAGGTATTTAATTCATATTTTTACTTTAAATAGTCAATTTATGACTTCTACAACTTGTTTCACTTTAATTTCTATAATTTTACAAAATGAAGAGTGTCTATAGATTGATTGAAAGAAATGAATGGCTCCAGATTAGATTCTCTTAATTTGCCTACTGAGAAATTAAATATGTTTTTRACGTGGTCCAACTTTACGAAAGTAAAGACAAAACATCAGTTGTCTTTAACACTGAAAAATATTAATACTTAATATATATTAAGATATTAATTAATAGTAACCATTGTCCCTGTGTATTACAGTAATTTTTGCTTTATTTCAGTGTAGTTAGTGTTTTCATCTCACACTTGTGAACATACGCACTGTTTTTGTTATTCTTGCTTGGTCTGATTCCAAAGTCATTCAAAAAGGACTTCATCAAAAATTGTTCCTATATGAATTTAGGGATTTCAAATAGTTATAGGATGCAGTTGATTTTTTACAGGCATGAAAAATTATTATTTTTATACATTTTAGTTCTGTTGGTGAAAAAACTAACTTGGAAATCATCAAAATGAAAATTTTTTCTTTTAAAAAAGGTTATCCAAATGTGTTTGAGTTTTTGAAAATGAGAGTAAAATGGGATAGAAGTTAAGCTTATGAGACCTGTGTCCAATCAAAGACAGTGACTTTTTATTCATTTATTTTATTTTGAGTCTTTTTCGCAACAAGAGGAATGGGATAACAATTAAGATAAGGTTCCAATAAAAGCAGTTACTTTCATTCATTTTTCGTTTACATCAGTTGTATTGTAACTTTGTCACTCTGGTCACATGACTTAGCGCCAATATTTTTTCATCAGATTTAACATAGTTCACCCAGCAGTGAACCTCCCAAAGGCTGTCCTGGGAGATATTATAAACTTCCTTATGTATCCCATTCGGCACGTTATCGAAGATGACGCAGAAATCAAGGAGTTTTTCGATAGCGTTGCTTCACACGGACCTGTCTCGGAGACAGATTTGTCTGTCATTTCTGGTATTATTTGTAATCAACATGATAAGTTGACAGAGAAGATGGAAGCTGTTGAAGARACAATGGGAAAATATGTCAAAGAGTGCATTGGCAATGCAAGAATTACTCAAGTATCTGTGTGAATGAACGTATTATAGATAACATCAAAGAATTGTAGTGTTTTTTAAAGGATAAAAGTCAATGACTAGATGTGCTTGGCATCCTGAAGTCAAATTCTTAAAGATTTTTTGTGCTTTGTTGATACATATGGCTGATAAATAATATTAAAGACTCACTTAAATTGAAAATAGTTTTCATTGTGAAAGAAGAACTTAAAAAAGATAAGCATCAATCATTAGTGACAGTCTCGGTGTTTTCTTATGCTAGAGAACGCATTGATTAAAAGATTAAGCATAAAGCGTTTTATGAAAGTTATTTTTATTATTTTCTAAAGCTCTATATTTTGAAAATTGCATTCAAGGGCAAATGTGTAAACAGAAATACCTGAAAAAATCTATAAGTATGTTAAATGAGATTTCTCATAAATCATAAAAATGGAAAATGTATTTTCTTTCCACTTCTCACCTTTTYAATAGTAACGAAAAATACTGCATTGTCTGTAAGTCTGTTGTTTCTTTTGTTCATCCATAAAAAAAATGCTATGTTGTCACCTCTATCCATTGCACTTGTCAAAGTTTGTTTTTGCATGTTTGTTACTCTATGTTTTGTTGTGAATGTTCCAGTATAAATGGCTGTCACCTTTTCTTTTCTTTCCTTTTTCTTTTCGTTTCATTTCACTATCATTGAAAACTGAAAATTTTCCAATTCTGATTCTTGGGATGAAAATGCTGCATCTTGGTCTGTTTTTCAGGGGTGGATATGGGATTTAGTGCACCCCCACCCTTCCCCCTCAAAAAGCTGGTATTTGCATTATTGTGAATGTCCTTATCTTAAATTTTGACCCCATCCTAAAAATAATTTGAACAAAAAGATTATTGCCATTATCAAAAAGAGTCCTCAGCAATCGAAAACATCAGGGTTTATTTWAAAACAATCAGCTTTCTTGAAAATCTTGCATCTCATTCTCATTTCTCTTTAAGGTAGCTTGTACAACTTCCGTTCCTTCCACCTTCCTATTTTGTTTTCCTTTTTTTTTTCTTTCATTATTTTGATCGAAAAATAGAAAACCTAATCTACAAAGGCGAGAAAAGGCAGCCATTTTTCTGGAACACTCAAAAATTAAAACCCTCCTTTTTGCATCTTTTTACTCAGGTCTTTCTACTTACACCTTAGCTCTTGGTCAAGCGAGAAATCTCTCTTAGAATTCAGAAAATATCATAGTCATTGGAAATAGTGTAACAGTCAGTTTTAAGATTTAGAATCATTAAGATTTATATAARTAAGATATTGTATAATGCGCTTGTATTGTTATGAGAAACGCAAAATAAAAGATTTTTTACAGAACAATTCAACTGTTAGAATTTAAAAAAAAGCTGTTATGGAAAAAGGCGCGCAAATGAATCAAAATAGATTCGCGCGCGCGAATTTTAGGCGCGCATTTTTTGGTAACATAATACTGCTGTCTTGAGAGGAAATGAGATTTCCCGTATTGGAAGATGTTTCTTTAGAAAAGGCAAAAGCGAGGACATGTAATTCAGAAGTATTTGAAAATGAAATAAAAACCGAATTTCAACATATTTATCGTTAAGGGATTCCTAAGGTCGATTGTTTATCGATAATTTTTAAAAAAACGCTACATTTAATTCCCTAGGGAATTGAAACKTAATGACTGTCGGCTTAAGTGATGATGTCTTGGTGCGAAGGTCACTTTTAGGTGTGGCTAGATCACCCGTTACTTCAAACTGCACTTCGTATTGAAATTCGTATTGTTCCATCGATATACACTGTAATTTTTATAATACAATCTGTCTTGCATGTAACTGTATTTTCTCCCGAAGAACAGAACAGAATATGTCATTTTGTTGTTTGGAATAGCAAGAATATAGGCATATAGCAAAACACTTAGAAAAACTGTGATTTTTAATCTGCATATTTCTGGAGAAAGGCTATAAGCTTGCTCAAAAAATTTAAATACTGCTTTTGAGATTTTAACGTAGTCTAAAAATAATTTTTAATTATATTCAAAAATATAATTGAAATAACTTACTGAATAGTGGTAGTTTCTATTTTATGATAGACTTTTATTTTCTCGGAAAGAAAGCATAGTTCGATCTAGGTAGTTTGGAGAAAATTTAGTAATTAGGGGAAAAAATTGGTTTCGACCTTGATTCGCGCGAGACCATCGGAAGCCTGCTTGCTTATAAAATCCAGACATCAATATGTCTTGTTTTAAAAAAAGGAAAAAAGGAATTCTTTTGCTTTGTTTGAAAGCTTACTATATAACAATTTAAGCATTTTCTGTCTGTAGATGGCCGCCATATTTACCGACTAATCCTTTGATCTGTCTCTTGTCTAAACTCGTTCGTGTTTTTAAGCTACTGTTGACATAAATAAACCAAACATTTGTGGAAAAGCGAGCGAATTTCTTGATTGAAATACTTGGAAAAAAAATCTGTTATGTTTACGTATTTTTAAGGTTTTATATAGTGTTACAAAAATACAAATTTTACATTCTTAAAATCAATAGAAACTGGCTTTTTCAAACTCTAAACGTCTTGAAATTAGTCTTAAATATTTGAAAAAAACTTTGAGATAGCGCCAAACTGTGTATTCTTAGTAAAACAATTAACAAACTCCAAATAAATACTTTGTGTTGTAGTTTCACTGTAAACAATCTCCTCACAGATCTAGTTGTTTGACAAAACATTTGTTTGTTGTCCTTAGGAATTTAATTAGAACTTGCTTAAGCATTTTATAACAATTGTTCTTCGGCAATAAATTTACTTGTCGTGGCACTAGACCGTGGCTTGGCAAATTAAAAAAATGTAAATATATAGTTAACAGATAAGAATAACTACCAAATAGTCGAGTTTTTAGCTATACATTTTACGTTTGGAGAGCCCACACATTTTCTTTACTAACCGACACGAAACTTTCGTGTAATAGTTCCCTAGTGCTAGGATGCGAGGGAGACTACCTCGATGGTGATTCTTCWGCCAAGAATCGCCAATGAGGTAGACTCTGCAAGCAGGGATTCGTRACAGTAGCTTTGATAAATAAACGATGATGTCTTTAGAATGAAAGTCGACTAATGATTTTTGGGATTTCTTTCCTTACCTTTCTCACAGAGACCAGAACAAGTACAAAGAAGCAGCCAATCTCCTTCACGATGCTTTGACGATACGAGAAAAGACTCTAGGCGAAGATCATCCTGCTGTAAGTACAGTGTTATCCGTGCGCTCTCGGCGGTATCGTGCTGGGGACATTCCATTAGTTATACAAACAACAAACAAGAACCGCCATTAATCTCTTAAAGGTATCTCACAAACCTCGGCTTCTTCATATTGAAATACCTTCAGCTTTTTCTTCTTCGAGTAAAGTTTCATCAGTATTTCATCCTTCGTCAGAAATCTTCAAAACCAAGTATCGACGCATCCAATTTTTTGGCATTATCATTTCCACGTCGCATTGAATTACCTTCCAGAACTTTTCTGTGGAAACTCCAGCAGAGATTCTTAGTAATAAAATAACACCAAAAAAGCTAATTTCGTATTATTTCGAAGGCCTGTTGCATGGTAGATTCTAAAGGAACAAATTAAAGCCAGTGTTTTTTGGGCGCGCAAATCTATATCACAGCGTACAGTAGTTACTATTCAGGTCCGCGGGGTCAACAAGGTTTCAGGATAATTTGTGGTATTCGAGGAATGGGTTTAACCGTTCGGCCCATTTATATTTATAAACATTGTCTCGTATAACGGAAACTATTAACAGCGGGAGACGTGGCTTTGCGTCACAGGGTGCCTGCYCTCGGTTTTAGAAATACTGTATTTAATACGATTGCGCACTTGATCGGAAACGCCTCTTCGATTCATATATATTGCGGTTATTATAAATTAATTTTATTCATTCTCTCGTTTTTGTCTTCTAATCATTGCCGTTGTTTGTGTTGTGTCAGTTGATGTATTAGTATCTTCGTTGTTGTTTGCTTTTTGATGATGATATTTATGGTTATGTTGATGATGATATAATGATGATGATGATGATAATGGTGTTGATGATGATCTTGGTCTTTTAATTACTTCTGATTCCTCTACTGTTGTTGCTGTTGATGATGCAAACGTTATATTATATCGTTTATGTTACTGCTTGTACTGCTGCTGCAGCTGTTGTTGTTGATGCTAACGTTCTGTTTTATCGTTGATGTAGTCTCCTACCCAGCCGCTATTAGTGTCGTCACGCCACGCTCACTAAAGCGTTGCGTGATGAAACTAATAGCGGCTGCGTAGGAGACTATCGTTGATGCTACTGCTGTTATAATACATCATACCTGGTTATTCTTCCCTAGGTTGCTGCAACTCTCAACAATCTAGCCGTGCTGTATGGTAAACGCGGCAAGTACAAAGATGCTGAGCCATTGTGTAAGAGAGCTCTGGAGATAAGAGAAAAAGTGTTGGGTAAAGACCATCCTGATGTAGCAAAGCAACTGAATAACTTGGCATTACTTTGTCAGAACCAGGGCAAATATGACGAGGTAAATTAGACTATGTTTCTTCACCGTGTCGAATGGGTTTCCTGTTGCGTCAAAAGGATGGTAGGGGAATGGGCATGAGATTCTTTTTCGCGGCTTTAAGATTCAGTTTAGATATTCCAATCGTAAGAGAAACATGCCTAATATGGTAACAAATGATCAATAGAGACAATTCCTACATGGGTAACACGATGGTTAATTTTTTTGTCCAATTTTTGTGCAGGTTGAACAGTATTACCAACGTGCCCTTGAGATATACACCACAAAACTAGGACCAGATGATCCGAATGTTGCCAAGACCAAGAATAATCTGGTAAGGTTTATGCCAGCCCTTTTGCCCTCTACCTCACCTCTCCTGTCCCACCGCAGTACCCTAAAAAAAGTACCACAAATGAC